GTGTGTGTGTGTGTGTGTGTGTGTGTGTGTGTGTGTGTGTGTGTGTGAGAGTGAGAGAGAGACAGAGAGAGGATGCAAACATAGACTGCCCCTCCTGCCCTCCATCTATGTTCAAAGACATCTGGTTCCTGGGATCATAAAGGTGCCCCACAGACCTGAATCCAGGCTCCTGTGGGTTCTGGGCTGGTGGTTGATATGCTCTCCAGCCAACCAAGCATAGGAGATCCATTATCATGGCATATAGTTTAACCAATAAGCATCTATTATAGACGTCATCAATCAAAGCCTAACAAGTCAAGGTCACAGATAATCTGTGTTTTCCCGTTGGCGACAAATAGTCTTTTTGGGCCTAATAGTTGCAGGTAGTAAGGAGCCACAGGGACTAAAGTCAGGGCTGCTCCCTCTCTCTCTGGTTCGTTAGTGCTCTCAGCTTCTTCTCACTCTGTTTTAGTAGTAGTAGTAGTACTAGTCAGGACACAAGAAGTGTTGACTCCACATTCTAGTATTCATGCTAGTTGCGTCCAATACTACCCTGCTACGTGTTTAACCAATCAGTGACGTTCATCCCTGCAAAACCCGCCTCCATAGTTCCTGGACCTAAAGTTCTGCCTCTATAGTCCCTTTTCCACCACAGGAACTCTCCACAGGGACTAGGAACATTTTGAGGAACTCATTGCGTTTCAACTGCAGGGTCCAGGGTCCATATTAAGTTCTGGAGACATTTAATCCCCCGAAAGAAAGGTCCTGGTCGCGGGGGTCGGACTTTCTGAGACTACAGGAACTTTCGGGGTGGGGTTTGCAAAGATGACCGCCGCTGATTGTTCAAACACACACACACGCTGCTTCAACTCGTGTCCCATCATACACAAAGAAGATTAAGGGATGAAGAGAGATCATTTCTCTTTGCTTCATAACATTAAAAGTAAAGTTTCCCTCCTCATTTTTTCAAAAGACGGAGAGAAAGAGATGAGCGAGCTGAGAGGGCGAGTGGTAGGCGAGAGAGACCAAAAGCACAAATACATAACCATCAAATAGTCGAGAGATGATTTACTGAGGTCATCTTCAGTCATCACTAGTGCATCAGTAAATACTAGGCAGCAGTAGATGTCGTCGCAGTGACACAAAACACAAGTTCTTTCCGATAAAATGGTTGGCCACACTGAACTTCTTCAGTTCTGTAGACCGCTGTGGAAATGCAACAACGGGCTGAAGTTCATTGAAAAGTCGTCCCGAGACTAAAATTGACAGGAACACCTTGGTGGAAATGCGTTTTGTTATTTTTTTGCCTGGAAGTATCCAAGAGGATCTGAATCTAGTCCTAAGTTCCTCCTGGTTGAAATGCAGAAACTGTGTTCCTGAGTCTGTACTGTCCTGAAAGTGGAAGCAAGAAGCAAACACCGCTCAGGCTGTGGAGGCTACTGTCTATCGTAGAGGAGCTTTATTGCAGGAGACCTGAATCTGTTCTCAGCCTTGTTTGACTTCACTTGTTTTGAATCGTCTTCATCTCTTTTTTTTAACTGAGCATTCACAGCCATGACGCCACTATGTCCACTAAGTGTGTGACGAATGCAATGTTTACTCTTCTGCTAAAGCTGTTACTTAAGGGCTTTTTTTTTTTTATAGCTTCGAAGCATCAGTAATTCAAAACCCTTTTGTATATGAACCCAGAGAGTGCTCCCATCCTCTTGCCTTCACATGATGCCTTACTGCTTGCTGTTGTTAAAATGTTTAATCAAGAATAATGACTGAATATGTGGACATGATGAATATTTAAAATGAGGGTTAAAAGTGAGTAACAGCTGGGTGATTTATTAGCTGCCACAGAGCTGCTGACTTACATTCTCCTCAATGCACTTGTCTTACTGTTATTTGAGAAATGTTCTCATGACTTTGTTGCCTCTATATCCAAAAGTCCCTCATATTCATACTTTCTTCTAACGTTTTTGTGGCCTTTACTGTAAGTGTTGAGGCAGTCAGATGAAGTGTGTGAGAGAGAGAGAGAGAGAGAGAGAGAGAGAGAGAGAGAGAGAGAGAGAGAC